AAAAAATAGGGATAACTGTTGGAAACTAAACTGCTGCTTTGCTGCTCCAGAAGGGAAGGAGAACAGGGAGAAACAGGGAAGAAGGAGGGACAGGATAAGTTTTCCAAGGGTATCAGTGGGTATTTTGGGATCAAAATGATCCCTATGGATCATGGATCTATCCCAGTAGCATGGAAAAAAAATAGGGATAACTGTTGGAAATTAAGTCCTGCTTTGCTGCTTCAGAATGGAAGGAAAACAGGGAGAAACAGGGAAGAAGGAGGGACAGGATAAGTTTTCCAAGGGAATCGGTGGGTTTTTTGGGATCCCTCTGGATCCATCCCAGCAGCCTGGCAAAAAATTCGGGATAACAACTCCAAACTAAACTGATCAAACCCTTCGGAGTCAACATCAACGGATAACCCAACCCGAGGTGATCATTGAGGGTTGGCTGAACAAATTCCCAAAGAAACCAACGAAAAAGCAGCTCCAGGAGTGGAAGCCATGCCAAAATCCCATGGGATTGTGTCCTGGGAATTTCTGGGAATGGCAGGATTACCTGGGAACGGGAGGAGGAGCCCACGGGGCCGTTCATCTGCTCATAGAATCGTCGCTCGGCGTCGTCGTATTTGTACTTGTCCAACCAAACCTTGTCGTGAAGGAAATAATCCACGGCCATTTTCCTGTGGGAATGAGGAAAAAAAAATCCCAGGAAAAATGAGGTTTTGGGAGCGTGGGAAGCTGGAGCAGCTGGTGTGGCCTGAGAGAGAAGAACTGGGAAGGTTTAAGGAGGGAAAATCCTCTTAAGGAAAAGGATAATCACCTGGGGGTGGGAGGTCAAGGGGATCCAAGAGGGGAGGAATCAGCTCATCCCAAAGGGTTTTTTCCAGGAAAAAGGACTCTGGGAATTTTTAGATTGAGCTAGGGAAGCTGCTCCTAAGGGAAATGGGTTGGGGAGGAGGATGAACAGGGAATAAGGGTTGGGATTTGGGAGGTAACTGGTCAAGGTGGGACCTGAAGGTCCAGGCAGAGATCCCAGGAGGGAAAAATGTGGGATAGACATTCCTGGAATAGCAGCTCAGGGATGGGAACAGGTTCCAGGGAATTAGGGAATGGTTTGGGACTACAGCTCAGGGATGGAAATATGATCTATGGAATTATGGAATGGTTTGGAAGGTTCTACAGCTCAGGGATAGGAACAAGGTCCATAGGATCATGGAATGGTTTGGAAGAGACTGGAACTCAGGGATGGGAACATGTTCTATGGAATCATGGAATGGTTTGAGACTACAGCTCAGGGATGGAAACGTGTTCCATGGAATCATGGAATGGTTTGGAAGGAATCATGGAATGGTTTGGAAGGGATTGGAGCTCAGGGATGGGAACATGATCCATGGAATCATGGAACGGTTTGGGATTACAACTCAGGGATGGGAACATGTTCCATGGAATCTGGAATGGTTTGGGATTACAACTCAGGGATGGGAACATGTTTCATGAAATCATGGAATATTTTGGCTTGGAAGGGCCTGTAAGGATCATCCCATTCCAACCCTCAGCCATAGGCACTTTCCACTCAATCCAGGTTGCTCCAACCCCAATCCAACCTGGCCTGGAATATTTCCCAGGGATGGAGCAGCCACAGCTTCTCTAGGAAAACTGGGATCATCAGCCAACGCCTCACTTGGAAGGGATAGACCTGTCATTTCATGGAAAACAGGCATGGAACACCCCAACCCTACTGAGAAAGGGTGGAATTTTCAGCAGTAGCTTCCAAAGGTGGATTCCTTCCCAAATTTCAAGGGAAAAGTGCCCTCAATTCCAGCCAGGACACAGGTAGGGAAGCTGTTTGAGGAGGTGGTGGGAACAGGGATGGAATTCACACCTGGATCAGGTTCCACCAGGCAACAATTCCCAAACCTCTCCTTGGCATCGCAAATCCCAGAGCTCTCCATGAAAAACTTCCAGGGAAGCGAAAGATGGAATTATTTTTTTTGGGGGGGAAGAACAGGAGACCCCAGAGGTCACCACACCATCCATGAGACCTCCATTCCTGGGATCCAAACCTTCAGGATCCTGCTTGGCTTCCAACCAGGAATACCAAATCCAGATCCAATTCCTGCCTCAGATTTCACATGGATTTTCCTAGGAAAAGGGGAAGGAATGACCCAATATCAAGCTGTGACCAACTCGGAGAAGATTATCCCAACCAGGATAAGGTGGAAAAATGCAACAGCTGAGGAAGATTCCAAACCCTTTCCCACAAATCCCAAGGATCAGAAGTATCAGGAATAAGGATGCTCCAAGACTTTTTTCTTCCAGGAATCTCAGTCTCTCACTTAGCTCTGCAAAGCAACACCTAAACCATCAACCTTTGGAGAGGATCCCAGAGAATTCCAAAGGTTTTTTGGAGTGAATACAACAACTTTATCCCTCAAAAGCCAAAAAAACACATCCTAAATCATTTTCCAGGCATCTCCAGATGTTCTTCCAGCTGGATATTGGATACAGTGCTGGATTTTACATGGAAGAAGAGGATGGAATGGAGGATGATCCCATATCCATGTAAAACTGGGATAACAGCTCAATTCCCAACCCTGAACCATTCACACCTCACAAACACAACCTATATCCACCAGGATTCCTCTGGAAGAGAAGAATTCTCAAAGAATTCCCTGTCCCAATTCCCTACAGCATCTCCCAAATCCACATGCAAAAAATTCCATTGGGCTCAATCCTGATTTTTGGTGCTTTTTTTGGGTTTTTTGCATGTTTTTTACCCCCAAATCAAACTTTTCCTACTTCCTTTCAGCCGTTGGGATGTTCCAAGGTTGGGAAGGAATTCCTACAGTAGATTCCTGAAGCTCTGGATTCTTTCCTGATCCCATTTCCCAAGTTTTGGCTGCGTAAAACCTGGATTCGGCCGCGTCGTACAGCGACTTGTCGAGCCACACGGATTCGCTGTCCTCATGCAGGAAAAAATAACTTGGAAGTTGCTTGGAAGCACTTGGAAAAGGCTTAGGAATTTCCATGTTTTTCCCAACCTTTTGCTTCCCAACGGGATGGCTTTTCCTATCCTCCTGGTGGATTTTCCATATTTCCAATTCTTGGTTTTTCTCCAACATCTTCTGGTAGAAATTCTTCTCGGCGCCGTCGTAAAGAGGTTTTTCCAACCAAACTTCCGAAGTTAAAGTTTCCCAGTTGGAAATTTGAGGTTTGCCATTCACTGTTTGCTGATCCAAGTTGGGAATGGAAGAGGAAGAAGAAGTAGGAATAATTCCTGGAGCGAAACTTGGCGTGGCAGGAGTAGGAAGAGCTGTAACGTAACCTTCATCCGGAGTTCCCAACCCAACATTCCCAACCCTTCCGGATGGGATAACCAAAACATTTGGTGGAAGGAAAAATTGGGATTTTTCCACAAATATCTCCTCGGCTTTATCAAAGTCCAATTTATTGAGCCAAACTCCTTGGATAACGTGATGACACGCAGCCAGGAATCCATGGGAACAATGTTGGGATGAGGAAACCATCCTTGCCTTGGGAATCTCCTTAGATTTGCTCTTGACTGGGGAATGTTGAGCCAACAATCCAATCTCAGCTACTTCCTGATTCCAGGAATCCATCAATTTCTTCCTGTATTCCATCTCTGCATGATCATACAAAGGTTTGTCCAACCACACTCCGTCGGTCGACATTCCAAGCAGGAGAGAATCCAGTTTGGAAAAATTGGGCTTGGATTTGGGAGAACGCTTCCTTTTCCGTTGTTTTTTGCCATTCCTTGGTTTTTTGAGGTCTCCATCCATGGAATTCTCATGGCAGACACCATTGATGACTTCCAAGGCTGTGGTGGAATCTCCATCGGCTCCGGAATATCCGTGTTTGTCTCCCCAAGTTTTATCCATGGGACAAGGAGATTTCCTGGTCCTCATCTTCCCAAATTTTGGAAGCATTAAAAGAGAAGGACAAGAATGTAGTGGCAGCAAGAGGAGCAAAGCAAAGGACATGCAGCAGGATAAAAAAAAAGTTGGGATAGTTGGAATTTTTTGGGAATATTCACTCTTAAATCCCTCAAGATTTTCCAGTTTTCTATGGATTTTAACTCCAAGGAATGAACCTGCCCTAAAATATCCAATTCCTCCTCAAACTAAACACTCCATTCTTAACCTGACCCAAAAATTCCTAAATTTCCACAAATTATTAGGGAAAACCCTGAAAACTCCTAAAATTTCCTATTTAACCCCACTAAATTTTGCCCAAATCCTTTGGGAATGTTGAAATATTCCAAGTTTGGAAATGAGGGTTGAATTATTTCATAGATTTTTCCCAATTAGGCAAAAATTTTGGGCAAACAGCTCCAAATTTTGGAGCATTTTCCAGGTTTTTGCTTCCACCTGGTTGTGTTTTCCCACTGAAAAGGGAAAAATGTTGGAAAAGCAGGAAAGAATTTGGGGTTAAATCCCATTTTTTGGGGCAAATTTATCCAAGGATTGGGGGATCTTGTGGTTCATTGAATTTATCTCGAAAAAAATCAACGATCAGGATTAAAAATTGGATTTTTTCCCCACATTTTCTTGTCTTAATCCTATGGAAAAGTGAATTAAGCAGCAAATAATTGATGGAATTTTGGGAATATTTTTCGGGAAAATTCCTTTCCGACCCTGACAGAGCTAAAATAGCCTCAAATTCCTAATTCCAACAATTCTAGAAGATTTTTCCAAGCCTCAAATTCAGAATTTGACTGAAGCAAAAGAAATTAGAAATTTCCAAGCAGAAAAAAAAAATATTTGAGTTTGGAAATGTTTTAATTGGAATTTGTAGATGGGAAAAGATTTTTTTTT